AGGTCAGGAGTTCGAGACCAGCCTGGAGTTTCGCTAACATGATGAAACGCCATCTCTATTAAAAATACAAAAATTATTTTTGCATTTTTAGTATTTTTATACAGGCGTGGCGTCGCGCGCCTGTAACCCCAGCTACTCAGGAGGTTGAGATGGGAGAATCGCTTGAACCCGGGAGGCGGAGGTTTCAGTGAGACGAATTGGAGCCATTGCACTCCAGCCCGGGCGACAGAGCGAAACTCCGTCTCAAAAAATAAATAAATAAAGCTCTTGCTTTCTCGAGTAAATACATAAACGGAAAACCTCAAAAGCTTTATTATCTGTTAAAGTCTGCATGTCTGTTTTTGTGATTGTGTGCTTAGTAAATGGTTTGCTGAACTTAAATCACCGTTTCCTATTCCCGCTCCACTTCTGGTATTTGGACCTAATATGGTGCTTAGCCCGTGTTTTTTTTGTGACAATACTATTTGTTGGCTCAATCTGTTCCAGTATTACAGAAAAGCCCCTTCAAAGTAAAGGGATTTCTGGCATGTTATGGTTTTAACTGGTAAATGTTTAAAGTATCACATTCTGCCTGTTTTAGGCGAGTGGTCGATTGGAATTTATAAGGAATTAATGCTTTGACTACTGTGATTTTAATTATTTTTCTTTCCACTCACCCTCCTGCTTTGCAGTTGTAAGACGTTTTTTTTCAAGGTAGTTGTTAGTTTTTGAAATACTTTTTTTAGAATACAGTTGGGTGCTCACTCAACTGTATAACCTGTGTTTCTCGTATTTAAATCATGGATTGCTGGTGTTTCGATTGTCTTATGTAGATCTTGGCTCCCAAACTGCTGCATATTGGAATTACCTGGAGAGCTTTTAAAAATCTCCGTCCGGGCGCGGTGGCTCACGCCTGTAATCCCAGCACTTTGGGGGGCAGAGTCGGGCGGATCACTAGGTCAGGAGATAGAGACCATCCTGATCGAGACCATTTCACCTAACACGGTGAAACCCTGTCTCTACTAAAAATACAAAAAATTAGCCGGGCGTGGTGGCACACGCATGTAGTCCCCACTACTGGGGAGGCTGAGGCAGAGGAATCGCTTGAATCTGGGAGGTGGAGGTTGCAGTGACCTGAGATCTCGCCACTGCACTTCAGCCTGGGTGACAGACCGAGACTATGTCTAGGAAAAAAACAAAACAAAACAAAAATCCCCATGCCAGGCTGAGCGCGGTGCCTCATGCCTGTAATCCCAGCACTTTGGGAGGCCGAGGTGGGTGGATCTTCTGAGGTCAGGAGTTCGAGACCAGCCTGGCCAACATTGTGAAACCCGGTCTCTACTCGAAATACAAAAATTAACCGGGCGTGGTGGCATGCGCCTGTAGTCTCAGCTGCTTGGGAGGCTGAGGCATGAGAATCGCTTGAACCCAGGAGACAGAGGTTGCAGTGAGCCGAGACTGTGCCATTGCACTCCCACCTGTGCAGCAAGAGCAAAACTCTATCTCAGAAACAACAACAAAAGAAAAAAAGAAAAAAACCCATGCCCAGGTCATACCCATACCGATTAAGTTAGTATATACAGTTGTGGAAGTCAAATATCAATAGTATTTAAAGCAGCCTGACCAACAGGGCAAAACCCCTTCTTTACTGAAAATACAAAAAGGCTGGGCGGGATGGTACGCACATGTGTAATCCCAGCTACTCGGGAGGCGGAGGCGGAGGCGGAGGCGGAGGCTGAGGCAGGAGAATGGCCTGAACCTGGGAGGCGGAGATTGCAGTGAACCGAGATTGTGCCACTGCACTCCAGCCTGGGCAACAGAGCGAGACTCTGTCTCAAA